AGGATAAACCGATCGTATTTTGAGCAGAGAAAAAGGGGTTTCCAAAGGTCATGAGCGCGTTGAAATAAAACACATGTACGACAGTCTTTTTAAGACTGTAGTGACTTGTATGTTGTTAGAAAATCTAAGTATTAAGAAATAAATAAAATGAAGTATTGACCGTCTGAGAGCGGATTTTATAGGGCAAAATTAAAACAGTGCCATCAAAAAGATTTTACAGTATGATAACGCTTTCCTTCAGTGGCCACTTTGGCATCACAGTCACCAGCAGTCATTTTACAATTAAGGTGGTCCGAACCTATTTATTATATGCGTGTTGGTTATGTTTTTAATTTGCGTTTTTCAGAATGAAAGATTCAACTGATTTCTATGATTTTTGGCATCCTTTATAAATAATAATGGAACTTTAAGAAAATGTTATTTATTTTCTTCAAGGTATAAAAACCTTTGAGATATTGGTATATATTTAAAACCGCATTTTTACGAAAAATGTAAATAACTTCGAAATCCCATTTCCCTAACTTCAGCAAAGAAGCGTCAGAGCTCTATAGATTACATCTGCAAGTTTGAAATGCTGGTCAAATTTAACCTTAAAATGTTACGCTAACACATTTGTGAAAGCTGACGCACAAATAGAGGAAGACAGCCGACAGACTATCTCCCATCTGAAAGGATATTCCTACCTAAAGCTTTATTGCAAGAAACAATATTACCGCGCACTCAGCATAAAGTTGTTCTTTTTCAGGTGCTAACTATGTTCGCCGTAGGTTTCTGATTACTCTGTTTCTTGCAATAAAGCTTTAGGTAGGAATATCCTTTCAGATAGGAAATAATCTGTCGGCACTCTACCTCTGTTCGTGTGTCAACTTTCACAGATGTGTTAGCGTAGCATTTTAAGGTTAAATTTGACCAGCATTTTGTGCAGCGAGTTCTACGGCCGGTCACGATTACCTTCAAACTTGCAGATGTAAAACTAGAGAGCTCTGAGGCTTATTTGCTGAAGTAAGGGAAGAATCTGTCGTGGGATTTCGAAGTTATTTACATTTTTCGTAAAAATTCGGTTTTAAATATATGCAGATATCTTAAAGGTTTTTATACCTACAAGAAAATAAATAACATCTTTCTTAAAGTTCCATTATTATTTATACTAAGGATGCCAAAAATCATAGAAATCGGTTGAATCTTTCATTCTGAAAAACGCAAATCAAAAACATAACCAACACGCATATAAATAGGTTCGGGCCACCTTAAAGCAACTTTTGTTTGTAAAGTTACTTGTTGTGAGTAACATCTATAACTTAGTGCGCAACGCCGAAAAAAAAAACCACGACCGTTTTTTGTGCACAACTAATATAACAAACAGGAAGTTGTTTAAAATGGATGTAGATTTCTTTCAAATAGTTCGATTCAACAGAAATTGTCTTATTTCAGAATTTGAACATCTGAGGTGATAAAATTGCGTTTTCCGTCGAACAAAAACGGTTAACTTTTTGTTCGTTACCATGGATTACATTTGTCCGCCGAAAATTAAGACGACTCAATATTTTCCAAACTTTTAAAGAAACTGCGTTATTCCACCATTTTCGGCAGCCTGTTTGGTCAAGCAATATTCAAAGCTGGGTTTCAACGTGACGGTAAAGGGAAAAACTGGTCGCATTTTGCACATCTTAACCCTGCTGCGTAATAATGCAGCGGATACAGCCCGTGTTTTTTTTTTTCTCGACGTTTGTCAGGGAATCGCGTGTTTTTTTTTCACTAGTTTTTGAACGAAATACAGTCGAACCTTTCATTGTGGACCTCTCTTTGTTACGTGCAGTTCTATTGGTTCCAGAATGCTCAACTTCACATTTTTAGCTTTATAATACAGAAAGCTATGCAATGCGGACACCTGGCTCTGTAGCTTTCGCTAAAATAAAGTTGAAGTCTGCACACAGGGGGCACCGTACGATATCATTTTCTCAAATACTTCAAGACCCTATTTCAAGCCACATAGGGTGGTTTTAAATGCATTCTAAGAGGCGCCATGAACGTTTTTATTAATTATCTGTTTTGTCGTTTCCTAGGCCAATCCAAACAATTTAAAATTCATAAGGGTCGACTTGTTATTTTCTCAAAAAGATTGGTTGATATATTCATTTAGTATATACTAAAACAGTGGATAGACTAAGTGTTTTTCGCGCGCTCTGATTGGCTACTCAATCAGTGAATATCCTGCACTATTCACTGATTCACCTCCAGTTCCTCTGAGCGAGCGACGCCAAACTCGCGTGAGTTTCAAGCAAAATGCCTTCCCGGTTTGCTGCCGTTACAAACAAAGAAATTTCACAACTAATCAAGCAAGCTGTTACTCGAAGAAGGTGACGAAGTTCGGGGTGGCAGGAGCGTAGCGTGAGGTTTTAAAGGTGTACGCACGGAAAGAAAGGTTAGATCTCCGAAGGTACTGCAAACTGGGGAGGTGTGGGGCCATGCCCCCAGAAAAAATTTCAAATTTAGGGGCACAGAAATGCCATTTCCCGCATTTTCCGCAAGTATAATAGCCAATTCTGTGAAGGGAAATATGAGAAACTATCTTTTAAACATCAAAGGAAATGGAGGTTGATAGAAAGCATCGAAGATATCAGATGAATGAAACAGTTCTTTAGAAATTATCAGGATTTCTACAGCAATCTTTACTGTAAGGCGGGTCCACTTTTAAAAAGTACATTTTTCGTAATTTTTTTTTACCGGAAAGGTCATTCCAGAAAGTACCAGATACATATCTTTAGGATTTCAGACACAAGGTTCTTCATTTGCATTACTAATGATGACAAAATGCAATATACAAGACTGTCTCTGTTTGCATGTGGCATAAAATTCGTCCAGTTCAACAGTTCATTTAAAGCCAGCTATAAATCAAAAGCACTTATTAACCGAATTTTCATATATTATTCATACTGCAGAGATACTACAGAGATAGAAGGGAAAAAGTTGGCAACATGTCTTCGTTCAACAGCTGGCTTATTATTGTTACTCTACTTTTTAACATTTCGCTTTACCAATCCTCATTCGCAAGATACAGTTCAAGCTATCCACCCTCAGGTGAGTTTTTGATTAGGTAAATTTATATTACCGTCAGCAAAATGACACATGGTTGGGCGTTTCGCTTTCGCTGAAAGACAAGCGCACTTAACAAGTTGTATAACAATTTCAGCGTCGCAGTTATCTTTCAAGGCGAACATGATCATGAACTGATAAACTATATCCTATTTGGTTTACATAACGCATGGCATACACTAGAGAAAACAAAATATTATACCTTCCCAGTAAAAGGCATTTCGCAAAACTTTTTCACTAATATTTTCCAAGACAGCCTAAAATTAAAAGCCAATTATTCAGTTTTAAAGTATATTAAGGAAACTGTGCACTTGCCAAAGGTATTTGAAATGTCCTTCCTTACCTTCCTAATTTTTCCGATATCATAAAAATTTCGAGGGAGTTTCTCCCATGATCCAGTATGTTTTATGACTCTTTCCTGCATGTATGTCCCATCCATCTGTGTATCTATTAGAATTAGTGCTTTTTGAGATCACAGAACATCGGTTTAAAATATATTTTAATTTGTAGCAGTAAAAAAGCGAGTGACCTTTTTTTCTCCATCGTTAAGCGCTTACATACAATAATTATGTATCAAGATTGTTTTCATTGTTATTTCTATTGTTGAAGTAATTCTCACTTGAATACCAAAATTATGGTCATAAAGAGAGTAACATTAAAAAGTCTACCATTTTACCAAATTTAATCCGGAAAAGAAGATAATTGGATCTATCGGGTAAAAGGATTAAGGCAGAAGATAAAGATATTTTTAATGCTTATCCCTTTCCTCTAGTCGAACCGATTATAACCTTGACTACTGACATTATGCTGCAATATAGCCATAGTCAAAAATTTTGGAATAATGATGTGTCATAATGAGCCTTCCACACCCTTTGTAGTACTTTGAAGATCGCGCTGCCATTACGGACGGGACAATTTTTTGACATGTTTTGACATGGTTCCACCACTTGTTTTAACTTTGATTGGTCTCATATCAATGCAGGACCAATCAAAACCCCCAATGTTTGAAGGCGGGATCGTGTTTTTGAAACTTAAGGTTTTCTTTAAACCTTGTCCTGCCTTAAAAACATTTTGCACTGTCATTGGTTCTGTAATAAGTAGAACCTAACTTGTCCCACAAAATTGGATAAAACAGGTAAGAAAATTAAATTAAAAATTCCTTCATTTTGGATAAACATAAAGCAGTTTGCATCAGCTTGTTTACAGCGAGTTTTGATACTCACTTTTTTCTGGGTCTAATTTCGTTCTTATTTGCGTTATGCCAAGTGCTAGACTGCAATTTTGACGACTCTACGTTTTGCGAATGGGCAAATGACAACTCTGGAAAATCGAAGTTTAACTGGACTTTAAACTCAGGGGGAACACCTAGTGGGAGCACAGGACCTATTTCTGATGTTTCAGGTATTAATTCTTTGTTTGATATCGACCCCTTAAGTTTAACGGTACGACTAACATTCTTTGAATAATCACCAAGATCGAATTGAAGATAATTATTATAAACAGTCACTCATTTTATTGAACTGCAGTAACTTAGAGCTACTTTCTACAGCAAAATTAACAAAAAAGCGTGTAATCATAATGCTGAAAGATCGACGACGAACTCGCCAGGTTTCACTTCCATAACTTATTAGCAGCCTTGAAGTTCAGTGTCTTCAGTTCAGTTAAAAGTTGAAATCTGTATCACGCTTTAAGCCTAAAAATCCTGTAATTGTTATATTTTGATTCCTTGATATTCTAAAAAAGCAACTAAAGGCAATGGATATGTAAAAATCGAAAGCGTCAATTCAGTAAGTATTTTGTTCCAAAATCTAAAGGAAATGGAACTTACGCATATCTTGAAGCATCGTTTCTGCGGCAACATGGTGACAACGTGAGGCTTTTAAGTCCTGTAATGCAAGGTGCAAAGTGCATGTCATTCATGTATCATATGTATGGAAGTTCCATGGGAAGCTTGGTAATCTACATGAAAACAAACAGCAGTGAAACAGTGGAATGGATTAAATCAGGCAAACACTCCAATCGATGGCTCGAAGCCGTTATATTCCTCAATTCTTCAGCTCTCTACCAGGTAATCCATCTGACTGATAAATTTAGAAAGCGGGCTATAACCTGATTTCAATTACTCTTTGCCTGTGCTGGCTTGATGCAGAATCTGTTAACCAAGTAAAGTATAAAAAGTAAAAGAAGAGACTGTACAATGCCTACATGGAAGATAAAAAAAGAATCAAACTACTACCTTTACTTGCTTTTAGATAAAAGATTTTAAGCCATCAGTCATCTTTGCGCAAGCAAGAGTACATGACAGGATATACGAAACTAGGAGAACACTGTGAATTAACTTTCTATTATTTAAACGTGCATCAGGAACTCTAACACCTTGCAACAAAACCGTCAGAAAACCGATTAATAATTAACCAAGATAATCCAGTCTTCGAATTCCTAGATTGATGGGTGCGATGTTTATTGATATTATAGTATCCCACGGTTATAAGCATAGTTCTTAGTACTTCAATGAATTTAAATGACTGTAAAGTGCAACGCTTGACGTCACCTATGCCGGTTTTTGTAAAAGGATTCTGATAACAAGGATATCACTGCTGATTTAGTAACATTAGTTGCGTTAGTGCTTTAACGCAATCAGAAATAAGTACGGTTTAGCACTTACTCTCACAATGTGGTGCTCGGGTCAGTATACTGTTGCATTGTTGTTTTTCCGTAAGCTCTTTTTAGCCTAGTTTAGACTAGTTACTGACAAGCGTACTAGAATATGTCCTCTAACTAACTTTCAGGGTTTAATCTTTATAGATTATAATGGAGGGAGTAAGGGGCGTTTCCTATTCAAGTGATGTAGCTATAGATAACATCGCATTCAGAAATGGATCCTGTGAACGACTTGGTATGTACACGAGTATATTTACCACTGCATTTTTGAAATATCCCAATATGCAGACACTGAAACATGGATCAAACTCATAAATCTTATTGCAAAAGATATTTGTAACATTTTTCCTTTTTTTTCTAGTTACCCAGTCGTTATACGCCTTTATAAAGGAAGATGCTACAGACTTCAAATTGGACAGAATTCCAGTTTACATTGGATGGTACTATCAGTTTACAGTGCATGCTCTTCAAACAAGAAACATTTCAACCGATGTGATGTACTTTGCGTACCCAGCAAACACTGTCCATTGTGCAAAAAGCGTCACCCAGGAGCTTTCATTAGATGACCCCAGTTGCTTTCCTCGAGACTTCTTCTTTTCCTCAAGGGCATATCAACCACATTACAAAAAGATATTGCTTCTGAACCGAGGAGAAAAACTACCATACTGGATTGCCTTGGAGGAATACCACAACTGCTGCCGTGAAACAGTTACAGAGTACTTCTTTGCAAATGTGTCATTAGACCGTAAGTTAATAAGTGAACTTATACTAAGTTGCCTCTAAACTTAGGCATAAAACCTTTCTTTTCCAAATATCATACGATGGTTAGTTTTCTTTTAACTGTGAGCCTAATGCCATTGCCGGCTGGTAACGAGATATCCAGTTATGTGGCTTAAAATGAAAAAAAAAATACTATTCACGTAAAACCTGAAGCTTTGGTCAGTTGTTCAGAAACTAGTATATCGATTGTTATTTTTTTTTCCAACTACAGAACAAAATGCATGCACACCTGGCTGGCTTAATTTGGGCGAGTCATGTTTTCAAATATATTCTTATAATTACCAAACCTCGAAAGACGCCATGTTTAAGTGTCACAACCTTGGAGGAAGACGCGCTGCTCTTGGAAATGCCGTTCAACTGCTCGCACTTTCAAGATTCATCGATGACTATATTGAGGACCCATCGCTATCCTCTGTTCATCTGTGGCCTTGTAGTTATTATTGGTATCTATCATGCAGTTTCATTTGTGAAACAGACGAACGTAAGTCCTTCGTTACGGTAAAGTGATTCCACGCTTTTTTTTTAATGAGGTTTGCTTTAGATCCGTAGATCACAAAGCAAATTTTGGAAAACTGGGATTGCAATTGGAATTTTGGAATTTTCGAAGGCGATTCTTTAATTTTGCTTTTCCTATTATTCAATAATCCTTAGGAAGATTTTTGATCGGTTGGCAATCCGTCCATTCATCCCAGGCAAACAGCAGCGGTAAGCCCTTCCACGCTGTCGACGGTAACGTTGCGTCTTGTTTCACGGTTAAAAGGCAAAAGGTAAGTTCTTTTGTGGTAAGAATCCATTTCAGTTGTACCCCGCTTATCAGATGGATCATCTAGCTTTGCTCTTAGTTAAATTCTCTATATTTGTAAGTTGGTAGATGTCAGTAGTGGGGGAGGCATCGGTTACGCCGGTATTTTGTGGATTTAATTAACTTTTTGAGCGGTATAAATTAACGCAGATGACGTCATGCATCTCATTAAGATAAGATAATGTCACAATTATAATTAATGCCGATGACGTTATGCATCTCATTAAGATAGGATGATGTTATAATTAAAATTAATGCCGATGACGTCATGCATTCCATTAAGGTAGGATGATGTCATAGTTTATTTGTAGCTGGCAAGGAGCAAGTGACGTCAGAATACCCTAGGGTTGACGTCATCAAAAAATGTATTGAGATCATCATCTATAAATAAAAAAAGTGATTTTTTGATATAATCAGCAATTTGCTATAGTCTTCTGATTGGCAAGTTTTGAACGTGTCATTTTTGCAGATTATACTAGATGAAAAATCTTTAATCATTAAATCATTTTCACTAAAAATCGGTTATAAACAAAACCAAGACACAGAGGTTAACTGAAAAATCTTTACTTCAAAAGAAGGGAAAAGGAGGTTGAGAGAATGCGAAATCGTACTAATTTTTTCGGGCAAAACATGAAAACGAGGTCGAAGCTCAGAGAAGCGGAAAACTGCCTATCAAGCAAAAATGTTAATCTTTGTTTACTTTACTCTGCAGAAAGAATTAATATTGCACAGGGTATAAAAATTCTATAGAAAGCAACAGGTGGTTCTAAGCAAACCCTAACTCTTTTGGTTCTTGAATAAATTCCATTCTAGTAACTAATAAGTAGAAAGTCCATTAAAAAAATATAGGAATAAGAGGTGCCATCGCCTAGCAACACATGTCTTCTTATTTAGCGCTAAAAATCGGATATATAAACAAAACACACACACATACACAAAGTGGAGCTGAAAACTCTCTATTTGAATTTTGACTCACCATTACAAAACGTTTTCTCCGTTCTATCTCGAGGAAACGACTAACTATTGAAGTCTCAGCGCTTGATGAGCTTATAGTCTTGTCAATTCACGCGCCGTTAGGGAAAGTTCATTTAATATGACAAGGGGTTGGGGGGATGAAGATATTGAAACTCGAAGCTTGAAATTTTAGCAGCCCCCCTCGCTAGCGGTTCAATTTTTTAGGAGCCCCCTCCTTGGTAGTCGAAAAAATTTCGGAGCCCCCCCCCCCCCCCCCCCCTCCTTCAATTCCTTTGCTCCCCTGAAAAAAGATCGCTAGGCTGTATTAAATATATTTACCGTTATTGTCTTCAATGGTTTATACTATGACAAACTTGAGATACAGTTGTGATACAATTTTCTAAAGCATTTTTGGATGAACAAGAGTGTAATAATTACTGAGACTACATTTGTTATATCTGTAAACCACGTGATATAGCTGAGTTGCACAGGTCATTAAATTGTTGAGTTGAAAACCATCCGATCTGTATGATGATGTCATGTGTTGGTTTTGAAGTATACAAATTTTCGGAGCCCCCCCTCCTAGCGCAACAATTTTTTCAGAGCCCCCCCTTCGGGTGTCTAAAAATTTTCGGAGCCTCCCCTCAATATCTTCATTCCCCCCCCTTGTCATATTAAATGAACTTTCCCTTAGTGAGTTAATTATGCGAGTTCACACGTCCAGACTTGAATACAAATTAGTTCATCTCTACAGCTAGACCCAAGGGAGCACCTTGACGTATTATTATATAAACAATTTTAAATGACTTAACAAGGATCAATTAAAACACGCGACTAATAATTGCTAGCAATAAAACCACAAGACAGATACCGTTTTAAAAACTTTATTGAAAACCAAAACAAAGCCAAAAAGTCAAATAAACAGCGATTTGAAAGCAAAAGGGATGAAAATTAATCCTTTGACTGACTATTACAAATCAGTTTTTTGCGTTCTATCTCGTGGAATAATAAATAATCCTTCCGTGGCTACACAATTTTGCTATGGCCTCTAAGGCAAGAGTTCGACTTTCTTTGTTTCTTGCGCTTTGTCCTGTACTTTGTAGTCGGTCTTTTAGCTTTTGCTTCAAAAGAGGCTTCATTTCTTCGTGATCTTGACAGTTCGTACACCGTTTCTTTTGTCTGTACTGGATTGCGATAGTGATTTTTTCCGAAATTATCCGCTTCACTTTCGTAAACGACGACTTTAAATTTAGGTTGCAGTTTCGCCTCTTGTAAATACTGTCTTCGCTGTATGTGGTCTAACTGATGAACATCCGCGAGATGGTTAGCTAATGTGACAAGGTACTTCGCCCCGCACGATGAAATCGGACAGTTTCTGCAAACTCTCTTGTAAACCATGTTGACAGTTCGATGGCTGAACACAAATGAGATCTTTTTCGCAGATAGTCAGGTTATATAGAGTGTCAGAAAGGCCAAAAACAGGCCAGAAAGGCCATAACCAGGCCTGAAAGGCCAAAACCAGGCCAAAAGAGACAAAAGGAGACAAACGGGCCATTTCTAGTCATGTGTCTTTTTTTTCTCGTACGCACGCGTGGGTGTCGCGCGTCGCTAGTTACCCAGCAGCTTTCAATATTGGAATTATCATCTTTATTAATGGTAATCACAAACAACAGTGCCTAATTAAAAAGTTTTGTTCTTTCTTTAGTATAACTGATATTTCAAATTTCAGATTTGTTATTTATTGCACAAGTTTACTATTATTGTTATTATGATCAAGTCATCAATAAAACACACTTAAAGTTTGGTTGTTTACAGTTTTTATTGAAATGCAACGATACAAAGGTCCAGGAAATAAAAAAAATTCTGTAACATTCATAGTAGGTCTAGTCTTGAACTTCGTTTGGCTTTGTTTTGGTTTTCAATAAAGTTTTTAAAACGGTATCTGTCTTGTGGTTTTTTTGCTTGCAATTATTAGTCGCGTGTTTTAATTGATCCTTGTTAAGTTATTTAAAATTGTTTATATAATAATACGTCAAGGTGCTCCCTTGAGTCTAGCTGTAGAGATGAACTAATTTGTATTCAAGTCTGGGCGTGTGAACTCGCATAATTAACTCACTAACGGCGTGTGAATTGACAAGACTATAAGCTCATCAAGCGCTGAGACTTCAATAGTTAGTCGTTTCCTCGAGATAGAACGGAGAAAACGTTTTGTAATGGTCAGTCAAAATTCAAATAGAGAGTTTTCAGCTCCACTTTGTGTATGTGTGTGTGTGTGTGTGTGTTTTGTTTATATATCCGATTTTTAGCGCTAAAAAAGGAAGACATGCGTTGCTAGGCGATCGCACCTCTTATTCCTATCTTTTTTTAACAGACTTTCTACTTATTAGTTACTAGAATGGAATTTATTCAAGAACCAAAAGAGTTAGGGTTTGCTTAGAACCACCTGTTGTTCTCTATGGAATTTTTATACCCTGTGCAATACTTTCTACAGAGTCAAGTAACAAAGATTGACATTTTTGCTTGATAGGCAGTTTTTCGCTTCTCTGAGCTTCGACTTCGTTTTCATGTTTTGCTCGAAAAATTAGTACGATTTCGCATTCTCTTAACCTCCTTTTCCCTTCTTTTGAAGTAAAGATTTTTCAGTTAACCTCTGTGTCTTGGTTTTATTTATAACCGATTTTTAGTGAAAATAATTTAATGATTAAAGATTTTTCACTTAGTATAATCTGCAAAGATGACACGTTCAAAATTTGCCAATCAGAAGACTATAGCAATTTGCTGATTATATCAAAAGATCACTTTTTTATTTATAGATGATGATCTCAATACATTTTTTGGATGACGTCAACCCTAGGGTATTCTGACGTCACTTGCTCCTTGCCAGCTACAAATAAACTATGACATCATCCTATCTTAATGGCATGCATGACGTCATCGGCATTAATTTTAATTATGACATCATCCTATCTTAATGAGCTCCATGACGTCATCTGCGTTAATTTATACCGCTCAAAAAGTTAATTAAATCCAAAAAAACCCGGCGTAACCGGTGCCTCCCCCACTATTGATGTCAAGATACCTCCAATATTCTGGCCTTGCGGTGTTTCAAAAGAGTGACAGAAAGTCCTTCAAAGTCCAGTCACTTCCTGTTTAATTTATTTTGACTCACTCCACGAACCTTTCCCTCGCTTTCACAAAATAAATGCTGTGGTTTAATTTTACCTTTGATTTAAATTTTATTTCCCTTTGTTGTTGGGTATGGTGATATATGGTATCCAGTTTGAAACGAAAAAATAAGGTTCGACCAAGAATGAAATTAAACCACAAAACTAATACTGTGCGACCTTGTTAAAACTTTATTTACAACAGGGTCAGCCAGTCTGGTGGACCGTAACATTGAAAACCATCCGATCTGTATGATGATGTCATGTGTTGGTTTTGAAGTATACAAATTTTCGGAGCCCCCCATCCTAGCGCAACAATTTTTTCAGAGCCCCCCCTTCGGGTGTCTAAAAATTTTCGGAGCCTCCCCTCAATATCTTCATTCCCCCCCCTTGTCATATTAAATGAACTTTCCCTTAGTGAGTTAATTATGCGAGTTCACACGTCCAGACTTGAATACAAATTAGTTCATCTCTACAGCTAGACCCAAGGGAGCACCTTGACGTATTATTATATAAACAATTTTAAATGACTTAACAAGGATCAATTAAAACACGCGACTAATAATTGCTAGCAATAAAACCACAAGACAGATACCGTTTTAAAAACTTTATTGAAAACCAAAACAAAGCCAAAAAGTCAAATAAACAGCGATTTGAAAGCAAAAGGGATGAAAATTAATCCTTTGACTGACTATTACAAATCAGTTTTTTGCGTTCTATCTCGTGGAATAATAAATAATCCTTCCGTGGCTACACAATTTTGCTATGGCCTCTAAGGCAAGAGTTCGACTTTCTTTGTTTCTTGCGCTTTGTCCTGTACTTTGTAGTCGGTCTTTTAGCTTTTGCTTCAAAAGAGGCTTCATTTCTTCGTGATCTTGACAGTTCGTACACCGTTTCTTTTGTCTGTACTGGATTGCGATAGTGATTTTTTCCGAAATTATCCGCTTCACTTTCGTAAACGACGACTTTAAATTTAGGTTGCAGTTTCGCCTCTTGTAAATACTGTCTTCGCTGTATGTGGTCTAACTGATGAACATCCGCGAGATGGTTAGCTAATGTGACAAGGTACTTCGCCCCGCACGATGAAATCGGACAGTTTCTGCAAACTCTCTTGTAAACCATGTTGACAGTTCGATGGCTGAACACAAATGAGATCTTTTTCGCAGATAGTCAGGTTATATAGAGTGTCAGAAAGGCCAAAAACAGGCCAGAAAGGCCATAACCAGGCCTGAAAGGCCAAAACCAGGCCAAAAGAGACAAAAGGAGACAAACGGGCCATTTCTAGTCATGTGTCTTTTTTTTCTCGTACGCACGCGTGGGTGTCGCGCGTCGCTAGTTACCCAGCAGCTTTCAATATTGGAATTATCATCTTTATTAATGGTAATCACAAACAACAGTGCCTAATTAAAAAGTTTTGTTCTTTCTTTAGTATAACTGATATTTCAAATTTCAGATTTGTTATTTATTGCACAAGTTTACTATTATTGTTATTATGATCAAGTCATCAATAAAACACACTTAAAGTTTGGTTGTTTACAGTTTTTATTGAAATGCAACGATACAAAGGTCCAGGAAATAAAAAAAATTCTGTAACATTCATAGTAGGTCTAGTCTTGAACTTCGTTTGGCTTTGTTTTGGTTTTCAATAAAGTTTTTAAAACGGTATCTGTCTTGTGGTTTTTTTGCTTGCAATTATTAGTCGCGTGTTTTAATTGATCCTTGTTAAGTTATTTAAAATTGTTTATATAATAATACGTCAAGGTGCTCCCTTGAGTCTAGCTGTAGAGATGAACTAATTTGTATTCAAGTCTGGGCGTGTGAACTCGCATAATTAACTCACTAACGGCGTGTGAATTGACAAGACTATAAGCTCATCAAGCGCTGAGACTTCAATAGTTAGTCGTTTCCTCGAGATAGAACGGAGAAAACGTTTTGTAATGGTCAGTCAAAATTCAAATAGAGAGTTTTCAGCTCCACTTTGTGTATGTGTGTGTGTGTGTGTGTTTTGTTTATATATCCGATTTTTAGCGCTAAAAAAGGAAGACATGCGTTGCTAGGCGATCGCACCTCTTATTCCTATCTTTTTTTAACAGACTTTCTACTTATTAGTTACTAGAATGGAATTTATTCAAGAACCAAAAGAGTTAGGGTTTGCTTAGAACCACCTGTTGTTCTCTATGGAATTTTTATACCCTGTGCAATACTTTCTACAGAGTCAAGTAACAAAGATTGACATTTTTGCTTGATAGGCAGTTTTTCGCTTCTCTGAGCTTCGACTTCGTTTTCATGTTTTGCTCGAAAAATTAGTACGATTTCGCATTCTCTTAACCTCCTTTTCCCTTCTTTTGAAGTAAAGATTTTTCAGTTAACCTCTGTGTCTTGGTTTTATTTATAACCGATTTTTAGTGAAAATAATTTAATGATTAAAGATTTTTCACTTAGTATAATCTGCAAAGATGACACGTTCAAAATTTGCCAATCAGAAGACTATAGCAATTTGCTGATTATATCAAAAGATCACTTTTTTATTTATAGATGATGATCTCAATACATTTTTTGGATGACGTCAACCCTAGGGTATTCTGACGTCACTTGCTCCTTGCCAGCTACAAATAAACTATGACATCATCCTATCTTAATGGCATGCATGACGTCATCGGCATTAATTTTAATTATGACATCATCCTATCTTAATGAGCTCCATGACGTCATCTGCGTTAATTTATACCGCTCAAAAAGTTAATTAAATCCAAAAAAACCCGGCGTAACCGGTGCCTCCCCCACTATTGATGTCAAGATACCTCCAATATTCTGGCCTTGCGGCGTTTCAAAAGAGTGACAGAAAGTCCTTCAAAGTCCAGTCACTTCCTGTTTAATTTATTTTGACTCACTCCACGAACCTTTCCCTCGCTTTCACAAAATAAATGCTGTGGTTTAATTTTACCTTTGATTTAAATTTTATTTCCCTTTGTTGTTGGGTATGGTGATATATGGTATCCAGTTTGAAACGAAAAAATAAGGTTCGACCAAGAATGAAATTAAACCACAAAACTAATACTGTGCGACCTTGTTAAAACTTTATTTACAACAGGGTCAGCCAGTCTGGTGGACCGTAACTTTGCAAAGACGAGGATTTGTCAGCAAAATCTGGATCAAAAACAGGCTGGGGTGCTGCCTTGCAAAAATGCCCAAACATAATGTCATTTTGGGAACCAAAAAAGCAAACTGTAAAGTTTACTCCTGGAAGGATAGACAAAAGACACTGATGATCTGTGAACCGTTGATTTCTGCTTCAAATGTAACTATTTATGAAGATGGTGTAGACGATTTAAGCCTGTGTGAGGTGATGATAACGGCAATAGGTAAGAAATGTAAACGTTTTCTGTTCCCGGTATTTAATCTTATCATCCCTCAAATTCAAAACCCCGGGCCCGGGGTCAAAACCAAGAAATCCAAAGAAACATTGTTATAAAATACCTCCAAACTGCGAGTTTGAAAAGCTAACCATTTGGACGTGGTATCACCCATGTTGTGCATCAGAAACGAGGTCTTGATGTTGACTTTGAACCTTGCAAGACAATTAAAGTGTTCAACCCTGACGTGAAGATATAATAATGCGCGTATAAAAAATTGCGACTAGTTTCTTAAACATTGGTTCTAAAAAGCACGTCTTTGCTTCGCTTGGTATTGACAAATATATTCAACCATTATAAAATATATAGAAAGCGAAGACAGTCTTCATGGCGTTCTTCAAGAACTTTGGTACAATATTCCGTTTGGTGCGAGTCTGCGAGCTGACAGCAGGTTTCCAAGCAATCCAAATGTTGTGTATATTCTCCGACAGTTTGACGCTCCCTTCAATTTCCATACAAATTACGGGCAACGACTTACAGCGTATTTGCAGGTGCATAACTCTTCTTATTATTTTTTCTCTAAAATTGTTATGATATAATGTTGTAAATAACAACGTGCACAAAAATAGTTACAGACGTTCAACTAAGTATCCTCTTTCAAGGATTCCACTGATAATTATTCATTTCATGTTACTAGTTTTCCTTTCTGGGCATGTGTGAGTATTTTCCTAGCAGTTTCTTTACATTAACCTAAATGTCCCTTTCCCTTTAATACTTACCTTTTCCCGTAAAATGAAAATCCTCTTTCGGGCATCCCTTGCGCATTCGGTGACAAGGAGTAACCCTACTTCGCACGTCAATGATCTTACTTTTTTCCCTTTTTTTATCTCGCGTAAGGTTTCTGAAAGCGGTAACTACACCTTCTTCGTCGCATGTGATGACACTTGCGAGCTTTGGTTACGCACAGAGAGGGAAGAACACGTTGAAAAGCTACTTCTAATAAAACTGGACTATAGGACAAACCACAATCAATGGAACAAGTAAGATTACCTTGTTATTTGATGAAAAGGGTATTATGTTATCTTGGAAACTAAACCGCGCTCTATAGTGTTTATACCGAGTTTTTAAATGCCCTTTATCTACTTTAGACTGCGATCCGTGCATAAATGTATACGTACTGGGTGTGGAGAACAAATACATCGGTTGTGGCTAAATTAAAAAGAATCATATTTTGTCTTTACTTTTTTAAATTAGCCATATTACAACTTACAAATCACAAACCGCGGGAAAGACCAGACTCAATATTTTTTGCCTTGCATTAACATAACTTTTTTACTGTTGAATTTGGGTCCCTAGGACCGGTGATGTTTCCCAGATATCCCAAAACCATTGGCTCATGAGCTTATGAACTTCCATGTGTTTTAAGGTGACTCGATACATTTTTTCAGGGTCAATACCTCCCAAGTTTGAGCATAAACTACGTCACCATAAACAAAGATATGGAAAAATTGACACCACATTTGTATTAGATATGATCAGGGCTGCAACGACATCGAAGTTGTCATAGCAACGAAATGACGCTATTACCTATTTTACTTGCAGCCGTATATCTCGGCACTGGGAACTGTTCTTCCAAATCGTTCACATGAGCTTTTTCCTCCAATAGCGGCCTCGATGTTCGTGAAGTTTAAGCGAAATCTGTCAGAGCGTTATCGAGATATTTCGGGATGAAGTTTTTATGGTTAGAAAGACAGTAACAAATGGACAATCTTGATGTTTGGCCGTTATCTGTAGGAAACAAGGCGCTTTTGACATGCAATTTAACCTCATAGTATTTTCAATCTTTCTGAAAAGGTGTGTGAAAGATCATGGAGATAGCCCCAGAGGATTGTTAGAAAGAAGGATTTGATTAGCATTTATCGAAGAGCTCTTGTTAGCGGTTTTGTAAACATTTTGGTCTTCTTTAACAAATTAGTGAATAATTTTTGAACTGCTCGATAGATTTTTTTAAAATTTTACGATTCTTGAGATTAATCTTCCTTTTAGTTTCAAGATTATTGATATATTGTAAGGCAATAAAATAAGCCCTACAATTCGTTAATTTTTTATCGGAACTCATGAGGACCTAGCCTCCCACGCAGGCGTTAACGAGGATTTGTCAGCAAAATCTGGATCAAAAACAGGCTGGGGTGCTGCCTTGCAAAAATGCCCAAACATAATGTCATTTTGGGAACCAAAAAAGCAAACTGTAAAGTTTACTCCTGGAAGGATAGACAAAGGACACTGATGATCTGTGAAACGTTGATTTCTGCTTCAAATGTAACTATTTATGAAGATGGTGTAGACGATTTAAGCCTGTGTGAGGTGATGATAACGGCAATAGGTAAGAAATGTAAACGTTTTCTGTCCCCGGTATTTAATCTTATCATCCATCAAATTCAAAACCCCGGGCCCGGGGTCAAAACCAAGAAATCCAAAGAATCATTGTTATAAAATACCTCCAAACTGCAAGTTTGAAAAGCTAACCATTTGGACGCGGTATCACCCATGTTGTGCATCAGAAACAAGGTTTTGATGTTGACTTTGAACCTTGCAAGACAACTAAAGTGTTCAACCCTGACGTGAAGATATAATAATGCGCGTATAAAAAATTGCGACTAGTTTCTTAAACATTGGTTCTAAAAAGCACGTCTTTGCTTCGCTTGGTATTGACAATTATATTCAACCATTATAAAATATATAGAAAGCGAAGACAGTCTTCATGGCGTTCTTCAAGAACTTTGGTACAATATTCCGTTTGGTGCGAGTCTGCGAGCTGACAGCAGGTTTCCAAGCAGTCCAAATGTTGTGTATATTCTCCGACAGTTTGACGCTCCCTTCAATTTCCATACAAATTACGGGCAACGACTTACAGCGTATTTGCAGGTGCATAACTCTTCTTCTTATTTTTTCTCTAAAATTGTTATGATATAATGTTGTAAATAACAACGTGCACAAAAATAGTTACAGACGTTCAACCAAGTATCCTCTTGAAAGGATTCCACTGATAATTTTTCATTTTGTGTTTCTAGTTTTGCTTTCTGGGCATGTGTGAGTATTTTCCTAGCAGTTTCTTTACATTAACCTAAATATCCCTTTCCCTTTAATACTTACCTTTTCCCGTAAAATGCAAATCCTCTTTCGGGCATCCCTTGCGCATTCGGTGACAGGGAGTAACCCTACTTCGCACGTCAATGATCTTACTTTTTCCCCTTTTTTTTACCTCGCGTAAGGTTTCTGAAAGCGGTAACTACACCTTCTTCGTCGCATGTGATGACACTTGCGAGCTTTGATTACGCACAGAGAGGGAAGAACACGTTGAAAAGCTACTTCTAATAAAACTGGACTCTAGGACAGACCACAATCAATGGAACAAGTAAGACTACCTTGTTATTTGATGAAAAGGGTATTATGTTATCTTGGAAACTAAACCGCGCTCTGTGGTGTTTATACCGAGTTTTTAAATGCCCTTTATCTACTTTAGACTGCGATCCGTGCATAGTTGTATACGTACTGCGTGTGGAGAACAAATACATCGATTGTGGCTAAATTAAAAAGAATCATATTTTGTCTTTACTTTTTTAAATTAGCCATATTACAACTTACAAATCACAAACCGCGGGAAAGACCAGACTCAATATTTTTTGCCTTGTATTAAAATAACAACTTTTTTACTGTTGAATTTGGGTCCCTAGGACCGGTGATGTTTACCAGATATCCCAAAACCATTGGCTCATGAGCTTATGAACCTCCATGTGTTTTAAGGTGACTCGATACATTTTTTCAGGGTCAATACCTCCCAAGTTTGAGCATAAACTACGTCACTATAAACAAAGATATAGAAAAATTGACACCACATTTGTATTAGACATGATCAGGGTTGCAACGACATCGGAGTTGTCATAGCAACTAAATGACGCTATTCCCTTTTTTACTTGCAGCAGTATATCTCGGCACTGGGAACTGTTCTTTCAAATCGTTCACATGAGCTTTTTCCTCCAATAGCGGCCTCGATGTTCGTGAAGTTTAAGCGAAATCTGTCAGAGCGTTATCGAGATATTTCTGGATGAAGTTTTTATGGTTAGAAACACAGTAACAAATGGACAATCTTGATGTTTGGCCATTATCTGTAGGAAACAAGGCGCTTTTGACATGCAATTTAACCTCATAGTATTTTCAATCTTTCTGAAAAGGTTTGTGAAAGATCACGGAGATAGCCCCAGAGGATTGTTAGAAACAAGGATTTGATTAGTATTTATCGAAGAGCTCTTGTTAGCGGTTTTGTAAACATTTTGGTCTTCTTTAACAAATTAGTGAATGATTTTTGAACTGCTCGATAGATTTTTTAAAAGTTTTAAGATTCTTGAGATTAATCTTCCTTTTAGTTTCAAGATTATTGATATATTGTAAGGCAATAAAATAAGCGCTACAATTCGTTAATTTTTTATCGGAACTCATGAGGACCTAGCCTCCCACGCAGGCGTTTTTAGGGGAGCTCGTAATTCTTCCCTCCGAGCTCCCCTAAAAAAGCCTGCGTGGGAGGCTAATGAGGACCCGCATATGACTTTTTTTACACACCACATGACGCCGGCGTTGTTAAGGACGCTACGTTTTGAATGACAGGCAATAAACTTCCTACTGCGAAAAGCAATTAAGTTCTTCACCGTTTGGTCCAGTCATCAGTTGTCAGTTATTCGATAAAGCGTCACATTTTTTAACAAGATTAAGGCGGCATCTGGCGATAGAGTAATAAGAGAAGAGATTACAGACACTTGAGTTCTCAGCTCACGAGTTATCCAGATAATTGCGCGTGGCCTACGACTCAAGTGTTGTCTCTGCAGTGTCTCTGGTCTTTTCCAGTATTAAAGGGACTGGTTCACGATAATGCGCATGTGTGAGTTCTGACAGTAGCTGATTGTTTTTCAACCAATCGGAAGCGAGTTAGTTGCACGCAAGTAAATTTACAAAACTCAAATTAATTGTTCGCGACGCGAGAGTATTTCCGGGCATTTGGTTTGATTTTATTTACCCCCATAATTCAAGTTTATTCTTTGCTACTCCTCAGATATATGTTGCAGCCGATAAGAATAAGATTTACAGCCCTGTCCTGCTTTCAAACAAACATTTACCAACGTGTATTTTTACGAGGTCGTACCCACACTAACAAAACAATCAACGATCGGCAAACAAAATTTGTAAACAAACATCTTATTATTGTTCTCTCAGTTCGCCTACAAATAGCGCCTGACCGATGACAAAAACACACAACGTATGAGTATAAAGATTATCCTTAATTGAGTATAAATTTCAATTGCTTATCAGAAAATGAACAAATTCATTCGCGTTGCGTCGGGTCAGTGTTCCGCAAAACAAATGTTATCGAGTAGCACACATAAAGAAACTAAATTACAAACAGAATATTCGGGCAATAATTTATTTTAAAAACATCAATTCTTAAACCCAAACGATCGTAAAGCAAAGATACAAGGAACATTTCAAGTGTAACAGATCGGCGAGGGTCGCGCGGCCTGTTGCGGTATGACTACAGGACGGAGTCAAAAATCAAATCAAAGTTGAACGAACTCATGCCTTTAACCACTTTCCAAGTGTCGTGTATTCTTTTCGTATGGCACACACTACTCCTAGAACCATACCAGATCGATAGGCTAAGCTTCTGTATCTCCAGAGACTCTTGAGAACGTCCTGTTGCCGGACGGCCACGATGCTCTTCTGAACCTCCATGATCGAAACATTATTTTTTGCGTCTTCTTAAAACGTAACCAGTCAAACGACACAACCACACGTTAATCACCATTACCGAAGTATAACTAGACCAGCCAAAGCGACGGATGTCCGAATAAAACGAAGGATTTTCAATGATTGCACCGGTAATGGCGATTTCGAATTTAGTGTTGACCCGACAAATTTATTCTGAAGAGACAAACGGCGCGCATGCGCATTATCGTGAACCAGTCCCTTTAAAATTTAGCGTAGTTCCATATTAT